GTCCGGGCAGAAACCCTTGGGGCAGAGTGTGAGCTGCCACTGAACAGCTGATCTGCGGTTGGCACTTGGCCTCCTATTGGGACCATGAATAACTTTTGCAAGTCTGAGTACCTCTTTGGAAAGACAAAGAATATGAAGGAAAAAAAATCGACATCTCCAGCAGCATCCTCCTGGGACCTGGTCCACCCTCACTCAGCGCCTCCTCGGCAGGAAGAATTAGGAAGCATATTACCATTGGCAAAGGAAATGTGCTGCCGCCCACCCCTTCCCCAGTCTGAAGTCTGACATTAAAATGTCATTGTTTTTCCTTTAAGTAATCATAAGGTTACTCAGGCAGTGGTTCTCAATAGCAAGGAGACACAAGGTAGGTCTGCACCACTCACTAAGTAATTTCCAAGGGCCTGATCTCAGAGGAAATACTCAGGAGATATGCAAACTTTACTAAAGACACTTACAATCTGATCTGGTCGGAAGATAGAGCTAATATAACCAAATCCCAACAAGCAATCAAGTATATAATTATACGCCAAATTGCACAGTATAAGCTAGCATTATAGGTTTTGATTAAAATCTGGTTAGCACATTTATATATGCTAAAAGGATTGCTATGCAGTAAAATGAGAAAAGGCATGCACTCCAAATCACTTTGGCAATTGTGAAATTTAGGATTAAGTACTTTCCGTGAATAATTAATTTGAAAGTAAGCTACTGAAGGTTACAGAATATTAGCTGTGCTCCTGGAACATTTGGAAGGGACACTGACTACTGTCTTTGGATTGGACCTTTATGAACAAAAGACAAGTATAAAAACAGATTCCCTGTCATCTCTAGTAAGACAACAAAACTAAGAGCCCAGATATAATAAAGTGACAATTTCTAGTCAGAACACAGAGCATAATCATTTCTATACATCAGTTCAGTGCCTGCTAATGCTGCTGAAAATGAAAACTGAGTAAGGGAGGAAAAATGTCAGGGTCAGTGCAGTCAAATTAGGCCATACTCTCAGCTGGCATTACATTTGCACTTTAAATTTGAGTTTGATGATGTTCCCCAAAATGTACATTTGACCCACTCTGATAGCATCCATAACATTAAAATGTACTCTATGTGTTGACAAAGAATACATTTTTCATCCTATGTTTTGGTATGATTTAATTTTCACAAATATAGGACATTTTCTCTACCTCAGCAGGAAAGGATTGTTTCTTTTTATATACAACAGACTCTAGACTTTGTGTTCTCATTCAAAACATCCAGCTGTTTGATTAATTCATTTGACTCTACAGGTAACAGAACCAATTATTTTAAAAACTGAGTTTTCTGAAACATTGGGCACTTACATACAGCACAGTTTTACACAGGAATAAATCAGGTATGAAAGGTATTTCTTTTCCAATTTTCTTTTCTTTCTACTGATTATATCAAGGTTAAGTTTCAGTATGGAGCAAGGATGTTGTCACCATTTCTCAGCCCGGGTGTGGCTCAGCGGGTGAGCGTCAACCTAGGAACCAAGAGTCACTGGTTCGATTCTCAGTCAGGGCACATGCCTGGGTTGTGGGCTCCATCCCCAGTCAGGGGCACAGAGGTGGCAGCTGACCAGTGACTCTCATCATTGACGTTTTTCTCTCTCTCTCTCTCTCTCCTTCTCCTTTCCTCTCTCTGAAATCAACAAAAACATATTTTACATTTTTTTATTCTCTTAGTCTAGAGATACAGAGGACAACTGGAAAGGAGTGTGATTTGCAGATGAGGTGATCTAAGTGGATTGGGCTGGTACCAGTTGTTTAACGATGGAAAGAGAAATAAAGATTTTTTTTACTCGAAAATAAGAACGTACTACCTACTACCATAGATAGTAACCCAAATTGTCAAGTACACTAATGTGTTCTATAACATTATCTCTTTATGGTTAAACTTTAGCATTCACTGACAACACTTACAAATGCGATACCACATTGTTTTAAATTTTAAAATATATATGAATCAGTGAATGTTTAAAAATTGGACAGTATAACAAACTGTAGGTCTAAGAAATATATTACATGTAAACTGTGCTATAACGTGACTAGTTTGTTTAAAGGTCCAAAGATCTAGTCAATCTTACCGACATCAAGTCAAACTGTAAACCGGGCCTATTCAACACGCCCTCTAGGAAAAGGAATCCCTATTATGGATCACAACAGAACTGTGAATCTTACATGTGCGTGTGTTTGCTCTGCTCTTGCTGCTATAAAATTAGTCAACAATGATTGTTTTAGCTACATGATTATGCTATGAACTTACCTTATGCCAAAATAGGAGGAGTAGAGCAGGGGCAACATGACAGCTTTGGACATCTTAGTAACAAAATCATCCCTTTGTTTGCATCTATGTTGACAGTGTAAATGGCCCCAAACTCCCAATAGCTCTTTCAAAGCAACTTCAATAAATATGAAGAGATGGACTAATATTACAGTAAGTCAATTCACATCACCTTTGTTCACTACATGTGCTAACGCTACCAAAAAAAGTGAATTAAGAAAGTTAAAGTGAAAATAGCATTAAGCACTAATTCCAAATTAACCAAAGTAGTAAAACAGAACTTTATACTTGAGCCATACACTCCTACACATTAAAAGCACAATCACTAAACTTTTTCTTGCACTGTCCAGGTTTGGCTAACAATTTTACCACTGCGTGTACTCTGGCCCTCTTTCACAGAAATCAGGAACTATTAACACACTCCTTTTTCCCCAAAACAGTATTATAAACTTTTATGTTTTAAGAATCCATAATTATTAAATTATTAAAGAAACAATGTGACATAATATTGTTTTAGTCAAATGCAAATAGAAAAAATTAAAAAGAACTATCTGTGTCAGAGTAAAGGGGATAGAAAAAATAAGCTTTAGTCTCTAGTATCATATAGGTCTAGAGCTTACAGAAACATGCAAGTAAAACATAGCTACTATTTTTTGCTAGTAGGTGTGCACTTTAAGCACCAATAGTTCAACTGGTTAACATTCCCACCAAAGCAGAAATGCAAATTTTAGAAAAACAGCCTATATTTACGTCAGACAAGTGAACACAGAAAGCATTTTCATACTCTTAAATGCCAGATAATGGAAGACAAAACAAAATTCCCCTGCCGCTGGGATTAAGATGATCTCCCAAGCATCTTTCAGACTTTTCAGGCCCAACTACAGTTCTGTGTTCACCCATCGTGCGCCTGAATCAACTGGATCTAACGAGCACTACCATGATCTTTGAGACTGCGGAGAATCACAGCGGGGAGGCTGTGGGACTGCCACCCCGTCGCTAACTCGGCCTCTGCCTCCTTAATGTGGGCCCTGACCATGAGGGGTGGCACTTTCAGAAGCAGGTCAAGAGGCAGCAAAGCTGAAGAAATAAAAGGGGGAAAGATATGAAACTGTAACATAAATTGCACTGAGTTTCAGGGAGGCATGCATGATTTCATTCTGCCCACATTAAATTACCTGGTCTTGGTCTTGACCCCATTCCACTTGTGAAGTCCCTGAAAACAGAATTGGGGGCCATTAGAAGGGCTTGTTCAACTTCGACTTGACTGATATTTATTGAAAGTCTATACCTTGCTACGGTTTAGATTATAAAAATAAATAAAGTGTTTTTCCCCCTTAAGACACTCTCAAGAGTTCAATAAAAAAGGAAATAAACAGACCTGAACCCAGAGCAGAACCGACAATCCACTGACCAATGGAAGAAACTTGTCCCATCAGAGCTGCTTATAAGCTCTAAGAAGGATTAAGAGCCTAAATCTCTTAGTGCCTTGAATGATTTTCTTGTTACACTAAAATCAACGTACCAGTTTTGTATTAAAAAGAAATATTATTTAAAATTTTAGATATATTATTTTTCTTTGTTCCTGCTGTCTTAAAAAAGAAACTATAATTCTTCCTATGAAATAAGATGATTTTGCATTTACAGGGAAGTGGTATAGTTCTCCCACGGCTCCCACTCCTACTCCAATACCACCTGCTAGAAACAAGTGAGGGATAAGCCAGGAAAGTTCATCACTGTCATAGAGAAGAAATAATTTGGTCTTACTGGCAATAAATCAAGATTGCTTGATTGTGACATTGGCAGATAGGCCAGGATTCTGGCAAGTAGTGATCAAGCAGTGTTTACTCAATTTAACTAAATCTAGATATGAATTATGAAAAAGGCGGGAGGGGTTGAGAATAGGTGTAAGTGAAAATGAGCGAGACTTCTTCTAAAAGCAGGCAAGATCCATAGTTCCTGAGAGTATAAAAGGGCCTTCCTGGCCACATGTAGGATACTGGGTGGTTACAAACGTCCACAATCATCTTTCTATACAAAGACTAGAGACAAGGGCACACCCATGAATACAATTATGCATACACTGAGTTATCAAAGTTGTGAACCACAGGCATCTCTGATTCTGCAAACACCCGATGTCTTAAACCAGCCTGCCAGCTGTACCCTGTTGCCTTAGCAACGGGATGCAAGCAAGCATGGGGAAATCTTGTTGCCTGAGCAACAGAATCTTAAAGAAAAGGGGAAGTGAGGCCTTAGGTTGTGACTATAGCAAAGGCTGTAGACTCAAGCCAGTAGGTGAGATTTCAGTCCCGTTATAGTGAGAAATATAGAATTTCTGCTAAAATAAAAATCATCCAACTATTAATTAACAGGTATTTGTGGACTGGCACCTCTGTGCACTACACTGTGCTCTGGGCAATGCAATAGAAGACTAGGCATAGTCTGTTATGTACCAACCCAGAGTAATAAATATTAATTGATGCTCTTAAGGCCTTAATTCAGTGACCGAAGCTTAGTAGGACTGAGATATACATAATAATGAAGGAAGCTGAAGCCCCTGTGTGTGTTATCAAATCCCACTATATAGAATAATTTATTTGTAAATTGAAATAAAATGTTATGGCTTATTGGATTAGAACTATCAATATAGATACTGAGTGAGACTATAAAACCCAGCTAGAAACTGATAAAAGTCAAGCTCATTCTCAATTCTTTCCTAGCAAGTAGTAATAAAGGCAGAAGATTTTAAATCACTTAAATCATTGACTTGATTACAGTTGGAAATTTCAAATAAAGTCCTAATAATTGAATTTTTAACTGCTTTTTCCTGACACAGACATTAACCTAGCTTCTGGCTAACTCTGTCAATGTGCACAAAACATCGAACAAACATTAACAATAAGGATATCTATTCATATGAGTATTAAAAAGTAGATATTTCCTGAGAGCTTGACCATGAAGAATGAATTCCATTTTCCCTCTTATTCCTTATGACTTCAGAGATGCACACATCAAAAGGTGATTTACACAAACACTATCATCCACTTCAACCCCTCTCAATATACACACAAAGTTCAGATCTTTCAAACTGGGAACATAAAGGTTATACAACCCCTCTGGAAAACACAGTTTGGCAGTTTCTTTAAAAAGTTAAGTATAAACCTACCATATGCTCCAGTCATGCCAAGATAACAGAAAAATACATGTCCATATAAAGACAGAAATGTTCATCTTGGCTTTATTTGTAATAGCAAAATAGTGTAACACAAATGTCCATTAACAGATGACTGGCTAAACAAACAGTATATCCAATGGAACTGTACTTAACAATAAAAAGGAATTAACTATTGGTGCAGGAAACACAGACAAATCTCGAATAATTATGCTGCCTGAAAGAAGCCAGACAAGAAAGAGTATGTACTATATAATTCCATGCATGTAAAACTCTAAAATGCAACTAAGCTTTAGTCCAGGAAGCAGATCAGTGATTGCCTGGGTGGAGAGGGAGGGTCAGGAGTGAGGGGCACAAAGGGACATGAGGACACCTTTAGGTGATATGTTCACTGTCTTCCCTGTGAGATTTAAGGGGATGTACATACTCCAAACTTAGAAAATCGCACACTTTAAATATGTGCCATTTATTTTGTAAATTATACCTCATTGAAGCTGTTAAAGTAACTTCTCTCATTCTCGTCCAAGGGGTTATTCAAATAAACTTGAAGTTATTCAATCACATGATCTATGTGCATTCATTAAAAGCAATATATGCATAAAAATCCCTCATTATGTTAATTTTCATCTGCCCTTTGTTGCTCACTAGATGGAACTTCAGTGTAGTCAAACTGTGTTCTCTCATGGCTCTCCATCTGCAGGAGAGCTCACTAGTTAGGCCTCAACAGGGTTTGAGGGGCTGCAGTTAAAGCAGCTGCGTGGTGACCACTCAGATTGATAACCATCTGTAGGAGAATCCCAGTGGCACTCCTATTTATGACTCTCCAATAACATGCAGAGAAAAGAAATAAAATCCAATCTCTATTCTAGTAAACCAATGGCTAAAGGCAAACGATGCTCACCGAATGCAATAGCGGGAATGCCCTGTTTATTAGGAAGTGTGTGTCAACTGGAAGTTCCCATAGTCTACGTCTGTAATATTAAACATGCTACACTGGCACCTCCAGGTTCTCCGGGGGCCCAGGAGAGTTCTGGGAATGGCTGCTAAATGACATCCTGCTCAGGGAGATGTGGTGCCTGGAGATTTGGGGACAAGGATTTGGAGATTCGCCTCTGCTCCATGAATGGCTGCCTTTCCAGAAGCCAAGGAACAGGGCTCTCGCCCCTGATCCCATATCTGAGCTTTGACTTTGGCTTCTGGGACTTTTGGTGATTTGGGGATGGACTGCTAAGATCTGGGGAAGAATTTGGCAAGAAAAGGAACCCAAAGGAATTATCTGCCAGCTGCAAGTGACTTCTGTTCCTGAGAAGAAACATGGACTTCTACGAGTTTGGGGACAGGCTCTCTCCAGGTCTTGCCATTAATTATATTCCTAAAAAAGAGTTTCATTATCTGATGGTGGCTCAGATCAACAGGGTACCTTCCAGTTCTAATATCATGTTTCCTTTCACCAGCCGTGAGGCTTTAATACTTCTCTGAGGAGGTAGGAGCTGCCCTTCCTCATTTCATTTGCTCATGTTTTATCCATTTTCCTGGCCCATTTGCCCAAGAAAATCTACTCAGGCTATTAGGGAGGCCCCTGGGTTCTTCAGCAGGTAGCTGGCTAAACGCTAGCTCTCGGTGTCTGCAGTGGTCAGAGTTGCGTCTATGCGTAAGCTTTCTCTGGCTCCAAGCTACGCGGGGATTCTTCACCATCAATTCTCTTCCATCCTCAATCTCTCCTCTCCAGGGGCTGCTTCTGCTCAGTCCCTTCAACATTCCCCACCAACTAACTGACCCAGCTCCCCCTCATTTTCTTTAATTGCCCTGCATCCCTGCCTCTGTCACTTTTAAAACCCCCACAATCCAGCTTCTGCTCACACCCACTTCACCAAGGCCGTGGAACTGCTCTCAGGGAGGCCGCCAGGGACTCGCAGGCCACAATGAACAGCTTTGTTTAGCCCTTAGCTCAGGAGACAGCTACTGCAGAAACTTCCAGCTATCCCAAAACAGCAATTTCCTCTTCCTTTTAGATCAGAACTCCCCAAACATATTCATTCTCCCTTGCACTAGATGTGGTCATGTGACAAAGCTCTGGCCCATGGTGCGAGCAGAAGGGTGGAGCACCACACCTGGGTCACATCCCTAAATGGAAGGGGCGTGTCTCCACTTCCCCTTTCCACCTCCCTGGGTGCGATGTGGTCCACATTTACCCTGAGGGTAAAACCTATACCCTGGGGATGCAAAGAAACAAAATATAAGGAGCCAGGGCTCCAGACGATCTCATGAAACACAACTGTCCTACCTCCCTGGTCCACCCTTGAACTCAGAGAAAGTAACTGATTGGCTGAAGATCACAAATCTAGACTAAAGCCCAGGTCCAAGCTGAGTAGTCTTCCCAGTGTGCGGCTTGGTAACTACATCAGTTCTGGGAGGGTGGGCTCCAATTGCCTCCATTTCCACATGACCAGCGTAACCTACAGCAATCAAGTTTCACTTTAATCACCAATAATTCAGCTCCACAGAGTCTAAAGATATTTCTAGGAGCTCAGTGTGTACATACCTCACTTGGGATTGTCTTTCTCCTCCTGAAGCACTAAAACTTCTCTTTAAAATGCCTGGAACAAGAAAATAAAAATAGTTCTATATTTTCCCACTGCAAATCTGTTATTTATTCGTTTGCTTGCTTGCGTGCTTCAGAGTGCTGCATTCTATTATCTGAGCAATTGTAAGTACTACAACGACTTCATTTACGAAAGCATCAGCCAAAATATAATGTTGCAAATTAATATTTTCTTGACAGGTTTGTCTAAGGGCCTTTTTTTTTTTTTAACAAAGAAAAGGTACTAAGCAAAGAAACTGAGTTATTAATAGCTAACAAAGAACAATAGCACATCTATGTCATAATCATCCTAAAACCCTTGCCAAGACAGCTAGCTGCAAGTTACCACCTGCAAACCTAAGGGTCCAACTTTTGCTTCCCCACTGACCCTCCATCCATTGTTACTGGGGACAGACATACAACACTGAATTCATCTTAAAACAGTAATTAACTGCTTCTAGAATTTGCTACACATGTTTATATGCATAGATATTTTTGCTGTGCAATACTCATGTTTTACCAATTACAAATCAAGACATTGTACCTAGTAGGCTGGAATTTACAGGGAAGGCAGAGCAGAGTGTTGGAAATTGGGCTCTCCCAGAAAATCTGGACCATCTAGTCACCGATTTTCCAATTAAGTTTGAAAACGGACAAAGAAGGAGGCTAAGTCTGTAAGGTTCCAGTTTTGTCCTTAGGGAGAGGCAATTTTAAACCTTCTTTTTTGAGACAGTCATTGGTGAGAAGTCAGATAGTCACTGGTGAGGAAAATTATTTACACTCAATTTATTTTATAGAGTATTTCTATCTACCCTTTTTAATATTCTATGAACTTATTCTTTTAAAAGAGCTATTATTTTCTATTATAACATCTTTTCTTTCAGTTTCAGATTTGTTGAGTGAATTGAACCCTCTCCTTATAATCTTTAAGTTTTGTCTTAATATATCTATTTTTTTCTTTCCCATATCCCAGTGTGACTATTTTCTTTACTGTTTCAAATTAAGAGTCAAGACTAACATATGGACTGAATTTATACATCATATTTTTTCATAGCTCTAAACAATTAAAATATTTATGTTACTTTGGTGTTTTAAGAATAATACATCCCTTTACATTAATGTAAATAAAATTGTACAAACTTCACCTACACCAACACTAATTTCTTCTCCAAGTTTCTAACCCCTAATCAATAGACTCATGAAGGTCACTTCCATCACTCCTGTGGTTATTTAGTCTTTCCAAATTAGTTGTCTCCACTCCCCAGTTAGAGCCTGCACTTGCTGGTAGAAATCGTGAAACCACTCATTTGACAGCTGACGCAATGAGAAACCACAGCGCTGGTTGGTTTGGGGGCTCGGGCAGAGTGAGACGCGCCTGTGCTAACTCGCACTGCTGGGTCATGCATGCGCGGACAAGGACCTGCCCCCAGGCTGCCACCTGCCGGAATCCGCGAACTGGTAAAGAAACTTACTGAATGTAGAGTCCTTCAAAGGGCTCGAACTGGAGCTGCTGGAGTTGTCCGAAATGTCCAGTTCGTCGTCCAGCTCTGAGTATATATCTACACGTTAATGAAAAAACATAAGCACATGAGCCTCGGACAGAGGCCAGTGTGTATTCAGGCTGCCAGCCCTTCACTAGAAGTACCTTTCTCAATGTTTTCCAGGTTGAAATTCTCCTCCGACAGGATTTCGTCACAGGCCCTGTCTTCTTCCTTGCCGCAGGGGGCCTGGAACCCCTCGGGGGGCAGGTCGGCGCCCTCGGAAAGCTCGCTTCTCAGGCTCGCGGCGCCGCTGCTGCTGCTACTCAGGCTCGCCTTCTCGAAGGTTTCCTGAAGGAGAAAGTCAGTGTCTAACAGCCACTTCTGGTCTTCCTTCCGCAGGACACAAAGCTTATTAGAACATATATTAAAACGCTTAAAATGGCATTATAAATGTGTGTGCTGCAGTAGCAAGGAAAATTCCAACTGTACATGTGCCATAGGATCCATTCAGTCCATAACTACAAAAAAGAAGTAGGTCTGCAAGCTACTGCTGGACAAAAAGAATGGATGTGGCAAGATGCTTAGTCACAAAGGTCTGTGTAACCTGGTGAAAGAAAACGCAGCACTAAGTGATTGACACGTATCCATTAAACTGAAATTTCTCTTCTTTAAGTTATTTTGAAAATATCTGCTATCAGATCTTCTCAATACCACAGTGAGTAAGTAAGTAAGGCTTAGTTTCCTCAAAGTTCAAGGGCAATTAGCAGCAGACACAGCCAGGCCAAGGAGAGAGAGAGAGACAGATGAGGTCTCCTAAAAGATGAGCTACAGCAAAGGGACTATCAATCCACTTAGGACCCTGGGCCACTGCCTGGCATCAACACTCTCCATGCAGCTACGCTGGCCAGGGGCTCCTCCAGCTCCTCCAACTGCTGTATTTTTATTATCATAGTGCCACAAGGTTACCATCTGGCCATGTGAGTCTGTGCACATTTCCCTAAACAGTATTATTAGAAACTACAAGATTATGTCTGATATCTTAAAAGTAAAAGGAAAGAAAAATTACTCTTATTAAATTCAGGAAGTTTTTGATTTTCTAAGAAAAAGACAAGAGGGAAAGGAACTACATATGACTCAGCAAGAAAAGTACCCCTTATTTCTTTACTCAGCTGATTCTGTTTCTAAGACATTTATTGTGTGCAGCAGTTTGTGGTATGTCAAAACTTCTTAGGCTGTTGGGCTAAACAATGTTGAACCTAAAGTATAGACCAGAAAGATGAAAAGACAAAGGAAGAAAGGCCATAAGAAAGGTAAGGATAGTAGTTGGAGAGCAGGAGGCTGCACTCATTGAAAGGGGAAAACATCTACTCAGGAAGTGTGTCAGAGATTGCTTAGTCACAAGTCACAAGTCGACCCCAATGATGAGCAATGCTTGGTACAGATAGGCTCATAGTTTTTTTCTAGATATTTTTCCCCCTAAAATTAAAGTAACACCCATAGCTTCAAGGAACAAGTTTCTAAAAACTCTGGGGTTGTAGAATTTGCAGATGAAGACAATCCAAGGCCTTATGAGTGACTGCAGTTAGAAGTAAACCTCAGAAAGTGTTCATGTATTTATGTCTATTAAACAAGACAAAAAAAACACTATGAGACATTTTGTGCATTGCAGACTGTCCAACGAATTTCTGTTATGTCTTTTTCCTGAGAATTTTTTCATTTTTCATTCCTCAAAGTTTCACCAAGATACTTGGAAATATTTCTTGCTCTGTGGAAAGTAACATGCAGTTAAGTTAGTTGAGGAGCCTTTTAATTTTCTTCATCTAGACATCTATCCAAAGGTCAACGTCTTCCTGCTTTTGAGACTCAGAATTCTCCATTCCTGCTTCTTGAATCTACCCTTGTCCACTAAGTGAGAACCTGCAGCAGTTTTTGCTTCAACAAAATCTACATAGTTTTTTGTAGTTGCCATAAACTATATGCCACTCTTAGACACACTTTCCCAAGTGTGATTTCCAGAGTGTTTGCTTGTGAATATTTGAGTACCCAAGTTATTATGCAACTGGCTCCTTCAAGACCTGTGGGCTATTTCAGTCCCTTTTAACTCCCTTGATACCTTGCACATAGCAAATGCTCAATAGGCAGCTGCTGTGTTCAGATCAAAGGGAAGAAGGGCTAGAAAGTAGGTGAATTCCCTTACAGGATGAGGTTTGGTAACTGCTGTGTTTTTAATCTTGTCCCTTCATCCAGGATCCTACATTGTGAAATTTCTGGGAGAGGTGAAGGGACTATCCAGTGATGTGAACTTCTCCCTTCCTTTTTCCTCTTTGCACTTAGGAAAAGTTGTGAAGCTCACCTCTTTTAGAGATGACCAGCCCAGCAAGGACAACACGCCTCTGTAACCCAGCAGACACTGGCCAAAGGCAGAGATGGTCGGGTATTTTTAGCATAACAATGAGGCCATTAAGATGTTTCCAAGTTGCCTCCAGCAAGTACATAAACCTATTAAAGTGAGTTAGGGGTAAAAAAGGTGCAGCCCTGGGGACGGAATTTGGTAGCTGTGGTCATTTTTTATACTTTCTAATTATGATTTTTCTAGGGATAGGAGAAAGAGTTCAGATTTTGTTGGCATTTGTATCTCCTAGGAATGGATGGACACATTCTGTGTATCGATACAGCAGCAAGGAGAAGACAATGGAAATTATACAATAAAATTAGCATTGATATGGTAATCATCACTATTATAAAGGCCCCTTCCTGTCATAATTGCTGAGATAGGCACAATTATGTTTAGCTCAGTTTTTCTCATTACAATGTAATTTTTACGTGTGGAGCAGATCATAATACATTTTTAGCTGAAAGGCAATTCTAACAGTAACAGACTGACATTGTTCAAATTAACTGTGGCAGTAGGAAAATACTTAAGAGAGCCTAGTTTATTAAAACTAGTGCAATTTTTTAAATTGCCCAGAATGTTAGTTTTATAATGAGAGAAAGAAAAGCAAGAAATAAACATAAAGCATAACACCAGCTCTATCCTATCGAAGCTTAACTTTAGAGCCATAGAGAATGCACTACATCTATTGTGTTCTGCTTTATATTCTATTTGAGCTATATCTTTACCCAGTTTCTTTTATTTGTTTAGTTAATAACTGTGACCTTAAATACATGACTTTAGGGCTATCCATTGCTTCACAGAAATTCACCAGGCTGAGGGGATCTCTTTTCAGGGGCAAATCAAGTTCTATGTTTTTCATGGCTGACAAAGAAAACTCAAAATAGGAGATACCCACAGCACCCCAAGAATGCCATTGCCACTGATAAGAAAAATGGATCACAGATCTATATATTAAACTATAACCATAAAGAACTTACAAGGAAAAATAGCTTATTTTTGCAACCTTAGGATAGGAAACAATATCTTTAACAGAATACAAAAAGGATGAACAAAAAAAATCTAAATAATAAATTGAACTTGAACAAAAATTTCTGCTTATCAGGAAAATATCATTAATAAAATTAAAAAGTCATAGACTGGGAGCAGTATCTGTAATGCATATGTTCAAGAGAGTCATATCTAGAATATATAAAGAACTGCAAATCAACAAAAACAAACAAATAATTCAATCAAATAATGGGCAAAGATTTGAACGCACACTTCACAGACACAAAGAGATAGACAAATGACCAATAAGCACATTTAGAAGTGCTCAACATTCTTGGTTATAAGGAAAATGCAAACTAAAACCACAAAGACATACCCTTTTATGCCCACTACAAAGGCTAAAATCTAAAAGATTGACAAGACCAAATGTTTTCAGGAATGTGAGACGATCTCACACATTCCTACTTAAAGGGTCAAACAGAACAGTGCTGGACAACTGTTCGGTAGTTTCCTTTAAGGTTAAATCTTATGACATGGAAATTATATTCCTAGGTGTTCGTCTAGAAGAAATGAAAATATATCCACAGAAAGACCTACCCAAGACAATTCATAGCAGTTTTACTTATAAAGCCCCCAGTCTAGAAACACAGTATCAGTGTTCATCAACAGGAGAATCAACACGTTGATATACTCATACAACGTAATATAAACAACCAACTAAAGGGCCTGGCTTTGGTGTGCAAGCAGGCCTTTAATTTATATTCAATTGTAAATATGTCACTGGAGAAATAAAATATGAATTTCCTATCTACAAAAAAAAAAAAAAAGAAAACTACAATAAGAATTCCACAATAAAGACATGAAATTATGAAAGATTTGTGAGTTTAAAAAATAATCTTTGTTGATTAGCACTCTACTAGCTACCTTTTCCCCCACAAATAGATGGAATCTAAGATGATAATTATGTGTGCCATATTTAAATAGTTTGACAATATCAGATATTATAGAAATCTTTCTTTTTTAATTCACCAAAAGCTTAGAGTAAATTTCTAGGACTCACTATGTGAAATGAGATAATTTATCAAGATGAGAGGTTTTTGAAAGATCATTTTGGTGGGCACATAAAAAATGGCTAAGGGAAAGATGATTCTAAATTATATGGGTGGAACAAATTCAGTAACTTGGAAGGTCTTCTTTAAGGTAAAAAAGCTAAGTGAAATAAGCCAGGAAGAGAAAGACAAATATCACCTGCTCTCACTCATGAGGAATCTAAAGAACATAATAATTTGATGAAAAAAACAGATCCAGTGACACAGAAGCATGGAACAAACTGATGAATTTCAGAGGGAAGATGGGGGTGGGATGGTGGGTGGGGAGAGATTAACCAAAGAATTTATGTACATATATACATAACCCATGGACACAGTCAGTAGTGTGGAGAAGGCCTGGGGAGGGGACTGGGTGCAGGGTAGAAGGGGTCAATGGGGAAAAAAGGAGACATCTGTAACATTTTCAACAATAAAGATAAATTTAAAAATAAATAAATACTAAAAAAAAAAAATTACCTCTGTGGACAGAAGGGGATCTGAACCATAAGGAAGAATTAGCTTATATAATAGCCTGATAATTTGGTTGTTAGGTATACTGTGGAGAAATTCATCATTTTAGTCCACACTACCTAGGATTGAACCCAAATGCCTTAACTAGGTATTTACAACCTCTGCCATCTAGAATCAGCCTGCTTTCAAACCATGTATAAAATATAGTGTATTGTGAATACAGATAGGCACTGTAAATCAGGAGACCAAACTTCCAGATCTGTCACTAACTAGCTTGATGACCTAAGGTAAGTCTCTTAACTTCTCTTGGTTTCCTTTTACTTGCCTATTAAATAAAGCATAAAATAATAGCATTTCCAAAATGTGATTCTTTGTCCTAAGGGAGCTAAGCTGGAATATCTGAGTGCCTGAAATTCTGCTATTCCCCTCCATTCGGGAGTGATGTCCTTACCTAGTTTTCAGGGCCTCCCAGAACTGTCACCCACATGTCTCATTTGGCATTTACCCAACCCATCCAGAGCATTAGAAATTTCCTCCTGCATGTGTGTCTTCACTTCCCAAGTATATTTTAAGTTATTTCACAACTGAGACACTGTTTATATCTTTTTTTATAAACCTTCACAATACCAAGCACAATGCCTAGAATTCAGAAGACATTCAACAATTCCTTGTTTCTTTATTAATTATAGACAGCAAGTGTTTGTGATTTTTCTTTGTGCTGCTCCAATAGGCTTATGGATGTGAAAGTATAAAAGTTAGAAATCTTAACACTTTCCAAAGGCGAGTCTTGGTTATTTCACAGTGGGTGAGTAAACCACAGTACAAAGGGATGAGCTTCTTTAGTGAAGACTTTTCCATTCTTTTGAAATATATATTAATACTTATCTTTACAAGCTCATAATGAACATTTCCATAATTAAGAATAAACTAATGTGTGAAAGTAAATAGCATGCGCTCCATGAGATAGGAGCCTCTGATGTCTCTTATCAATTGTTCGCTAACCTGCTAATTTGCAAAATTTCAGTAATTCACAGAGGACTTTTTTATTGGCACTGGGAATCCCTGAAGTTATATTGAACCCACTAGTTTCTATTCCCTTTGACTATGAGTTATCATTAGGTTGTGTAATTGCATTATTGATATTAGCAGCTCTAGGAGAACACGCCAGTGTATTTGAAATGACACGACTGCAGTACCACAATACTGCTGGAGGAAAACAAAATAATTTTACACTAAACCATTTCACCAGTAATGGTGTAGATGTGAGTTTTAAAAAATAATAATTGATACCCAGTGAGGATAATGCCAATTAACTGCATGCTGTCTTTAATGAAAAGTAATCATGATTTTTTTCCATTCTTTCATAAAGCTGCATTTTTTTCCCTTTTAGCTACCATTTGATTAATCTTGAAATGAAAAATCACCAGTATACCCAAAATCGGGCAAAAGAAGGTATTTATGGCTCTTTAAAACTGTAATATAAACTTTGCTTTGAAGTAAAGCACTTCTCTATGGTCCCTAGAAGACTGAAGGCTCTGTGAGGGCTCGGAGGCTAACTAGGAACAGGTGCCCAATAAATAGTTATTAACTGCATGGGTAACGTACATGGATCTAGTACCAATGGACCAGTTAGTATTAGATTAACAAGTTTCATCAACAAACTGTCCTTCAACATGAGCACTGCTCATTTTCCATAATTGATGCTAACTTCTAATTTATGCCCCTTTTCAATTTGCACAGTATATTCAAGCACATTAATCTATTTAATCCTAGTGCCCGCTGCAATTGGTAATATCTCCCCACTAATTTGCAGATGAGTAAAGAACCTCTAGAATCTCTAAACTCCCTCCTTGACTAGATCTCTCCCCTTTATTTTACCCAGTCATGGCCTGGCAGCTAGGGTTCTACAGTTCAAATGCTATGGTCTCTTGGATTTGGGAGAGGGTAGCAGCTAAGCATAGAGATGATACGTGACTGGTCCCAAGTAACAAACTGTTAAAACTGGGGGGGAGGAGGGGTACACAAAGCACCTTCTTTACTTCTATAGATGTATCAAATTTTCCACAATAGATTTTTTTATAGAAAGCTGAGGAATAAAATTAAATAAATTAAATGGTTTCTCAAGGTGTTTTGCTAAAGATAAGAGAGTTTCTGCTTAACATTTTAAACTAACTCCACCTATCAGCTACATGAATCTCATATAAACCAACTTGTTTATATCCCACTGGAAATTGGCTAAGTAGCTTTGCAGTACAGAACTTAACAGAAGGCTCCAAATGCTTACGCTCTATAGAAATGGCTAAATCTCTTGCGTTTTAGTTCACTGGAAATACTGTAGTCTGAATGCAACCTGACATCCGTGTGCTTCTCATTGTTGCCTAGTTTTCACAAAGCCAGGTAGCAAAGTAACAAGGGAAATGCACTCTAATTCCCTGTGTGTAAGATTTAACGGTGTTCTGCAAGAGCTGTAACTCCAAGGTATATGCTCCTAAACATAAACCGGGGCCTTGGAGAATCACCATGAATTGTTCTGTGAAATTACAGCCGGGATCAGCATCTACACCAGTGAAGATGAAAGACCCCCCCACCCCCAAGAAAACTATATTGAATCTTTAACTTCTGGATTCTAAGTACATCAAGACAAACCCAGCTAACAGTAGAGTGGGCTTGCCTTCTGACAGACTGACAGCCGTCGAGGGGAGGGGGGAATGGGAGTTGAGGAGTTGAGCAAAAAAAGGAAAAAATAAATAAAAAAATAGTCACGGACAAGGACAGCAGTGTGGGGATCGCGGGGTTGGGGTGGGGGGTAGAGGAGGGGATGGGGTGACAAATGGTGATGGAAGGAGACTTGGCTTGGGGTGGTGAACACACTGCAGTGGACAGATGATGTGTTGTGGAATTGTGCACCTGAAACCTGTCTAATATTGTTAACCATTGTCACCCAATAAATTCAATAAAAAGGAAAAACATAAAGGAGCTTTTCCTTAAGGCAGCATGACAACCTTAGACCGCCTATCCGAGCGCATCATGGAGAGACTGAAGGATTCACACTTACGTGAGCCAGTGGAGCCAGCTCACGGTGACAGGTGACGGCGTTCCTGTTGGCTTCCATAAAATACCTCTGCGTGCGCCTCCGTTCCCGTTCCAGTTTCTTTTCCAGGGCCAGCTGGGATGTAGACAAGCTGTCTAAATACTTCATCATGACGTCCGATATCATGGAGCTGACTTCCACAATATCGGGGCGGGCTTCTGCGTCAGGAGTGAGGCACCTAAGAGAAGATTAGCTCATTACTACACTCTGGCCAACGTCCAGACCAGGCCACGGGGCTTGCAAGGTGAAGGTTAAATTCCACTGTGTGTCCACCACAGTGTGCGCACCCAAGAGAACCTAGGGTAACATGGATATCGAACATAGTTTTGAACCCAAGACTTTTCCAAAAGGCATTTGAAAAGTTTGGGAAGGAGAGGGAGGCAGCACCGTTCTCTTTGCAGCTGGACCAGCAGGCAAGGGTTACAGGCTGAGCAAGGAGCTGCTCCTCTGCTCTCAGGATAGGCAGATGGGGTCATCTTCTCCTGTGTGAATTGGTTATTTTCTAAAATCAGCACCAACTCACTGGTCAGTGAAACAAAGAGGGATACCGATGATAGAGGCCCCGATGACCACCCCTGATGCACGAAAAAGGAAGAAAGGTTTGGGGGGGTCACAAGTTATTGGAAAATATTAGCACAATCTGATCAGTGAGGGTCTTATAAAACATGAGGCCATAAAAATAACATGCAACCCAGTTACTTAAGAGGTTTAAGATGTTTGTAATAAATTCTTTAAAAAGCAGCTAATTTGACACATTACCTACTAATATTTTCTGTGATGTTGGAGGTAGGAAATATCAATCAGCCTACTAACAGGAATATTGTTCATGTCACAGCTAAACACAAATAGAAGGCCTTTCTGGATGCCCAGGGAAGCAATTATCGAGATCACTGGCTAGCATCGTTAAATACTTCTGGCACTCACTACAATATTTTTCTATTTTTAAATTCAAATTCACTAACTTCACTAAAATCATGTGTGCCTTTCAGAAAAATTTAACTTCTTTGGACTTTGAGAGAAAGATCTAATTTTCACACCTTGTGTGCGATTTAGAGACCCATAGTTAATACAACTTGTGCCTATACTGATGTCTCCAGGCAAGATTTAGAAATTATTACACATAATTATTCTTCAAAATAGAAATCAAAATAAGACTCTAACTTGTTAATATGCTTATTCTTTCTTACTGAGTTGTTAACCACGAGTAAACTACAAGTCTTAATCAGATTTTAAGACGTTGCCATTTCATGCTTTATCTTTATGCTACTTCCTTTAAGTTCTAAGGCAGTGGGCTTATACTCTGGTTATGACCGGCACTTATACATCTCCTGAATTCACATTTAACAAAGTTCAGTCTATGAACTTTATTATATACACAGTAAGGCGAGAGACTGTGAAGACAGGGCCAGCTACATAATTCGTGTGGTTCCCAGTACAAAATGGAAATGCGGGGCCCCAGCAGGGAGGGAGAAGGTCTCCCCCTTCCACAGCCCAGCATCCTGATGGTAGAGGAGGGACCCCAACGACTTGCAATCTCCATGCCCACAGGATGCAATAGGATGCACTGGAGGTGGGCAAGAGGCCCCCACTGAATCACCCCCAGACACACTGTGGTGCTGCCAGCCTGATCAGGGATGACACCTCTTCTTGGCCCGGAACCAAAACACAGCAGGGCACATGCTCCATCCTGTCCCCTCCTTACTTACCATGGGGGAGGAGGGTAAAGGTGGAGCACAGGCCTCCCCTGCTGACACGCCCCACTGCCATACCAGGTAGGGGGCAGCAGCGATGATGGGACAGAAACAGGGAGATGGAGCTGGAGGCCAGGGAAAGGTCCAGCGGACTGGGATCAGGTAGCTGGGAATCTGTGCCAGGGAGGCAGGAAGCATGAGCTGAGACTCAAGCCCTCAACACACATGCTCCCTGTCCCATCACCTCTCACTTCCAAAAGACCAATTCGAAGATGAAAGTGTTGACCTTGATGCAGAGGCTTGAACGCCGAGCACAGTACTGATGTGAGCACAGAGGCCTCATGCGGTGGTCGTGAACAGGGAAAGCCAACTGTGTGTCAGCCACGCATTTGTGTTCGAGTTTCTTACACTTGTTCATAACCACAAAAGAAGCCAAGTGCTGAACTTTACCTTCTAACTAAATCAGTCTTCTTCGACTCTCACTTAATTAGCAAAATGGGTTAAAGCTCATAAAAAATGTTTGGTTGACCTAGGGTTGGTTATGACTGCAATGTATGAAAAAAACAAAAAACACTCCCAGCATCTAAGACTTTCATCGGTGCAGATATTCTAAATTATTAGTTTGCAGATATTTAAACTAATTCAACATAATATTAGCAGTTGAATCATCAGCTGAGTTTTTTTTAATCAAAAAGGCAACATAAGCTAATTTCCTAATTGTGTAGTCATATATTAAGGTAAATGGGAACCAGAACGGCCTCTGTTCTGGCATTTACTCATCCCTTTCTCTCCCAAAGTTACTCCCCGCCCTGCATTTGCCACCCAGGAGATACAGTTTAGCATCATCATTAGGTCTGAAGGCTCCAAGTCACAATGCTGGGGTTTAAATCCTGGCTCATCCTTCATACCTCTGATCTTGGGCAAAACTTAGCTTCTAAGCCTCTGACAGGTCATCTGTGAAATGGGGTCATCATAACATCTACCTCATCAAGCTGGTACGGGGATTAAATGAAGCCATCCCTGTAAAGTGCTGGCACATTATAAAGGCCCAATCAGTGGAAAAGAAAACCCACAACTTTATCTCTCTGCCATCCCTTCCCACACTCGACCAACACAAAGTCCCGTGGCTTCTACCGCTTAACAGACTTTTGAATCTGTATCCTTCTGCTCTAATCCGTGGTCACTGGCCTATTTCATCATCACTTGTTTGGGCTACCGAAGCAGCCTCCTAAATGGCGCACGCCCCTCTAGTCCACCTCTGCTCCATACTGCAAAATGCTACCAGGATGATATTCCAAATTGATTACATCGCTCCTCTGCTCAGAACTGTTCAATAGCCCCTCGATGGCCTAAGTGGACAAAATTAAAATCCCGAGCCTGCCAGACAAGCCCCTTCCTGAACTGTCCCTTACCTCCTTCCCAGCCGCCCCTTCTCCCCCTATGCTAGCAACACAACAAATGCTCCAGCCTGTACTTTCCCCAGTAGCCCAAGGCTTTCCTAGGCGCCCATTTCCTAGCTCGGTTTAGTCTTCCGCCTGACTCTGTGGGGGGTTGCTGCCCTTTCCCAAACCACAGCCCTTACCTGCTTGCCAAAGCCCCGCTTTTTCAAGTCTCCCTGAGTAAGGCTTCTTGCACCACCCTCAGATAGACTCACTGTCCCCTTTTATATGTTCTTATTGCACTGCCTATATTTAAGTACTTAAAACTACTATAATTATTGTATTGTATTGGTCTGTTTCAGCACTAGAAACTGCAAACTTCTTGAGAGGAGGGACATGTGTCCCTTTCACCCTGATCTCCCCCAGCATGTAAAATGGAATCTGGGTTCTAAAATGAACTCAGCAAGTGAAATAACTAACAAACTAACCAACTAACTAACTAACTTAGTCTAACATTTAAGAAGTTACCTGTCCGTAACCCCAAATGTTTGGCCACAGACTATGGGACTACCAGGTATCTGTCCTACCAGAAGTTCTAGTTTAGCTTCATTGCTTTGAAATGTCTCCCTGCTTAGCTATTTCAGAGACATTCTGAAGAGCAGCCCAACGCTTCATTGACCCCCTAATCAAACAAGCATGAAATCATGTTCTAGGAAGAAATCTGGGATGTTCCACTCAGCCTGCCCGCTTTGTCCCCAGGCTGCTCTGAGAGACCAGATGGAAAGAATTAGAGGGCTACAATGTTGGAATGTATTCGTTTCATGTTTAAAGAAACAAAGAACTGAAGGTGGGGTGAAAACTGTAAAGATCCATAGTGCCGAGAAGAGCTGAAAGCATTAAATCCGTTAGTCTCATGACTGCCCCTGAAACAAAGGGCCAGCCAGCTTATGCAACCCGGCACAGAGAGAGAAAAATAAGGCATTTGGAATATTTTGTGCATAATAAGAAATGCTCTCCCTTTTTCAAAAGTAAACAGACAATGCTCTCTCGACAGTCCACTGGAAGGTAAAAGCAATAATGCTGGTACTGTGCAGAGCAATGAACTGCATTTCTTTTCTTCCCCGGGCTCTTCAGGGTTGCCAAGATATTTTCCCAATTTAAAGGCCTGTTAAGGAAAAAAGAAGGTTCCAATGACCAAAGTGCTTGTCCACCACCTCACCAAACAGGAAAAGGGAAAGATGCCACACGTTAGAATACAAACAGTGTGAGAGCCACCTGACAAGAGGCAGAAAGTAAAAATGAGAAGACAGTGCCGCAGGCAAGGAGAAAGATACATGTGATTGGAAACAACGCCTCGTTTAAAATTAAGAATGAGCCTAGTGAATTTTCTCATCAATGGCTGTCTTCATTTCAAAAGCGCCACAACATTACTAGTGACTGGCTCTGAGCCTGGTTTGCTGAGTCATAAGTGATCACGAAGAACACTTTTGCCTTGATGTGTCCCTTGCATCAATATCCTGAGGAAAACAGGAAATGGAAAGTATCCTGTAATTCTTTGGGAACTAAATTTTTAAAGAATAAAATTCCAAAGCAAATTAAATATGTGACTGCATGCAGCTCATGACTGAGTTGGGTTTTTCATGTCAAATTTTCTAAAGATAAAACTTTGTTTGTGATGTGAACCCAGACAATGAATCTTGAATAACTTTAAATGAAAACAACATCTGCTGCAGAATGCACACTGCAGTCTTAATTTATAGTCAGTTATAAAGCTAATTGTCAGTTCTTATCATGGCATCTTGTTCTTTCAAATAAAAATTATCCTCAAAAACACTTAATCTAGAGCCTCTCAGTAGTGATCATTCATTCTCTTAAACATCCCGGTGACAGGGAACTCGCTGCTCCACTGGCACACCTCTATTCTGACACTCGCTTCCCAGGTGAGCTGACCTGCCTCCTAGGAACTTCCACTCCGTGCCCTTGGTTCCATTTCCTGAAGTTCCGCTGAATAAATCCAATTGCTTTCATATTTTCAATGTCATTACATTGTCCCAGTTAACTAAAGTATTTTTAATCCTCTTAAGATCGTACCCCGAAACTTGTTGGCTCAATTTCCAATCCACAAGTGAAACCTCACTTCTCTCCACCAACACCAACACCAGTCCAGTCACAGCTGCCACCACCTCTGAGTGGACAGTGGGACCCCCTTCTCCCTCCCTCCCGCACTCCTTCCCTCCAGTCCATCCCCCATGATCGTTGCTAAAGAGGAAATTTTCACTGTGTGCCAGCCTATTAATAACACTTTAGTCCTCTGCTCAGTACTCAAGATAAAAATTCAAAACTCTCCATGTGGCCCATAGGACCTCACCAGTCTGGTCCCTGTCAGCCTCCCCAGGCCCATGAGTAGTTACTATTGCCACCTATCCATCCCAGATTAGAAAAGTGGGGCCAGGAATGTTAAGATGAGTGGAAGAGTAGGAAGTTGGATCCAGTTGTTTCCAGAACCTGTTGATGCTCTTAACCTTTCCACAATGTTGATACACGACTCTGCCACAGCCTCAGCCCCAAGAGGCATGGATGCCAATAGCCGGGGAGCCTGTCAGAAGCAAATTATGGCCCTGTATGCTCAGTGCCACAAAATCAGAGTAATGCCTCTGTTCTTCTTCTCTGCACTACCCCTCCCTGGCTCTTTGTGGCAATCAAATACCTATGAAAAGGAGAAATTGAATGGCATCTCCGGAGACTTGGATTTTTAAGGCACTTCACAGGAAGCAAATAGCAGAGAACAGGGACAAATTGTGGAGATGAGCAGTTTAAATACATGTGACTGGATTCACTAGCAACAAGGCACGACCCAGTACATGCAGAATTCAGATGATTTAGGAAGGGGCTTCAGCTCATTTCCTGTAATATTAACAACAATGACAATTGCCAGCGTTGGTTGAGATTTACCATGTGCCAAGCTCTGGTTAAGTGAGTTGTATGTGTTACTTTGTATAATCATCACACCAGCCTGATGAGGTTGGTACTATTAGGATCCCCATTTTACTGAATGAGGAAATAGAGATGCAGAAAGAGTGGTCTGATTGCTTGTTTCAGAGTCTGCAGTTAGTGAAACTCAGCCCGAGCAGGGCCTGGGGCTCTAGTAGAGCAGGACAGCCCCGTGGGAACGAGGAAAGACTCCAGACGTAACCCGCAAGTGTGCAAGGAGTACCTATTAGTGCCAAACAAGGGCTGGGAGGGAAACCAAAGGGAAGGGGCACAGCCTCAGTAACATGGCTATGACATCCCACCAGAGATGCTGCTAAGTGCTGGGACAGACACAGAGCCAAGCTTTCAGGGAATTGGGCTGGGGGATGGATAAAGATTCTATCTGAGGTGACTCGGGTTTCTATCATAATAATGGGGCTTTGACTGAGCTCAATGAAGCAGAGGAGTAATCTTGGGCAAACTTAAGTGCATAAAATGGTCCAGAAATAACAATTGGCCAGATAAATGAGAGTCATTTATTCGTACAACCAGTTGTTAAGTGTCTACTTCATGCCAGCCATTGCTTTGGGCACTGAACAGCTAGGAGCTAAACTGAAGGAGGCCCTGCTCTTGTGGAGTGTGGCAGGGACACAGATGATAGGGAGACGAGTGTGCATATACACATACAACACGTCAAGGTGATGGGCACCATGAGCTCTACAAAGCAGACAAGGGCACGAGAGAGTGCAGAGAGGCCGGGGGCGGGGCATCAGAGCAGGCTTCCTGATACGGGGACATCTCAGCAGAAACCCAAGGCAGGTGAAGTGAAGGCCTGTGCCACGTGTGTTTCAGAGAGAAGAGTTCCAGAAAGAGGGAACAGCAAGGACAAAGGTGCAGAGGGAGGTGCATGCCTGGATGGAGAGGGACAGTGGGAAGGAAGTGGGGCAGGGTCCGCTGGCACAAGCCCTGGGGGATCAGAACTTTGCAAAGGGATAGTGCCTTTCATTAAACTCCTACTATATTGACAGCTGCAAAAGTTCTTCCTGATTTTCTTTGAAAATTTGTTATACAATATAACACTAGTGATTTAAAAATAGAAATGAAAAATGCTTACAATTTTACCTAACGTGGCCTTTTTCCATTTCATATGTTCTTGTCCAGCCTTTTCCCACGTTCATGCATAATTTTAGGGGTTTTGTCATAGTTATAAACAACTTTACATCCTGTTGTACTTAGGGGCATATTGCACGTGTCACACAGGTGGATACAAAGCCTTCGGATCATCATTCTAGTAGCTGCGTAATGTTTCAAGTGAATGTACTACTTCCTCTTGGACACTGCCTGGCTTCCAAGTGGTCACTATCACTGATGATGCACAAATATGTTTCTAGGTTTGCATTATTTGGGAGCCCTTCCTCTGTATGAACATTGACAAAGTGAATCTTTGCAGATGTGAGGTGTTTCCTGAGGATGCCTGTATGTTCAAAGTCGGGAGACTAATTACCTGCTGATGGTATCGGTCACTTTTTCAGAGTAGATGCCTTCTGGCACAGGCTCATATACCGCCTCCACTATCTGCAAAACAAACAGAGTGGAGTGATGGAAGGAAGCGAAGGGGCCACTGACATCTTCGAGCAGTAATGCCTGGCCACCACACGAGAGTTACTCAATAGGCATTCTAACTTTGGGCACAAACCTTAATCAGAAGCCAAAGCATCCCAACAAATACAAAACTGACACCAATTAAATAGTTCTTGAGCTTGGAATTATATTCTTCAAACTGACCTAGAGTTAACCTCAGATTCGTATAAATGATGTATGGGGTAATATCACCTATTGGATAGTGGGCATCCAACCTGCAATTAAGAGTAACAGACTGAAAGTAATTTGATATATTTATTTTATAATTTTCTATGATAAGTAAAGACAATTATAGGGAGAAATGTGCCATAGCACATGGTATAGGTTAAAAGAAAGGAGGAAAAATAGACTGGATCATGTGGTTAATAAAACCGTGCCTGCTGGTCACTGATGGTTTTATTAAGGTCACAGAGGTCCTATTTAAGAAGAAGAGGAATGGCATCCTCAGCAACGCGAGGCCCCTTTGTCCCCCGCACCCGCTTACCTTCGTGGCCAGGGAGAGCATGTTGGAGCTGGAGAAGGGGGGGCTCAGCGTGGCCATCTGGTACAGGATGCAGCCCGCAGCCCAGACGTCAGCCTTCTCCCCGTAAGGCTCGCTCTTCAGTACCTCGGGGCTGAGTGACAATAAGGGTGTTAACAGACACTGAAAGAGGGAGTCAGCACAGAAAGAAGTCCCACTCTCAAGCTGAAGCTGGAGATATAAGAAGAAAATGGCAACTTCTCTTCATGATTTCAAGTACACATACTAAAAGTATCTCTGAATTCCCCCAGGCTTGGGTGAATCGCAGGGACACGCAGGCTATTCCAGTGGAAGCACTGGACATCAAGGGGCCATAAACATCACCTACTGTGTCCAGGGAAACAGCCATCCCTCTGCGGAGGACGGAATTATTGGCCCCGGTTCATCACTATAGTGGCGATTTTGTACGTCTCACCCTTGCCTCTTAGCAGGCAGTATTTGTGACCCACTCCTGCCTCTGGGTGTGACGGATTTGTCTGGCTTTGGCCAATGCAATGTGGAAGGGACAGGGCACCGGATGAGGGTCTCACTCTAAAAGGGTTGGAAGGCTTCCCTTAGTCCCTCTCGGGGCTTCTGTTCATTAGCAATAGAAGAACATACCCCACGTAGCTGCTGCCCCTCCAGCCTGGGCCCCTAATAAGACCCACGGAGAAGATCTGCCCCAGGGAACCCGTAAGCCTGCGCCTGAAGGGGAACCAGCCCGGGGGACCCACAGCCCTGTGCGTCTCACAGTAAAAGCTTACTGCTGAAGGCCACTGAGGCTGCGGGGTGCTTTCTCACGCAGCATTTTCACAGGAAGGGCTCTGTCAGTCCCGAGAGAATAAAAATGTGTCTCCTGTTATCACCTGATCAACTGCTCACATTTAAAAAGAAACGCCTAACAAGAAATAATGTCCTCAAGAGGAAGGTGTCCTTGGCTCCCCACAGACAAATTTCTCATGTTTTTATCTACTGAGAACTCAAAGGATTTCTTTCCTGTTTCCAAGAGCTCACGAAGCAGACGCTCTGCGTGCTCCACCAGGGTCCCCCAGGTCCCCTCTCCCGTCCTGTTCCCACTGCGCGGTGTGCTGAGGGGAGGGGGCTGCAGCGAGCCCCTCGGCTTTGAGGCGGGCTGTCCAAGTTAGCTGACATGACAGCCGTCATCAGATTTTCGGAACTGCCCACAGGTCCCTCAGGAAGACTGAGGATGGCTTCTTTGGGAGAATAAAAGAAAGAAACAAGAGGCAAACAGCACAGTGCTGACTCCCACTGTGCTTCTGGGCCCAGCTTCGATGCAGCCCTGAGCCGAGCGTTTCAGAACCAGGACTAAAGGCAGCGACCCCTGGAACTGAATCCGATGTCCAGAAGCCACAGCGAAACGCTCTGCTGCGGTCTCACGGCGCCCTCCAAAGTTTGTATGTTGCAGCCCCAGTTCCCAGCACCTCTGAACGTGGCCGTGATCGGGGGACCTGCCCGTGATCAGGGGACCTGCCTGTAGGGGGTGATTAAAGCAAGATGCCGATAGGACGGCCCTAGTCCAACACGACCAGCGTCCTGGAAAGAGGGGACACCTGGCCTGTGTGCCCAGAACTCCTGCGAGGAGGCAAGAGGACGCCCACTGCAAGCCAAGGACAGAGGCCTCAAGGGAAACCGAGGCTAACAACACCTTCACCTTGGACTTTCGGCCTTTAAAACTGTGAGAAATTGAAGTTCTGTTCTTCAAGCCGCCCAGCCTGCGGATGTCGTTGCGGCAGCCCGAGCACACGAATGCAGGTTCTAGGGGAAAACCTAGTCATGTGTTTTTCATCGTCAAAGGGAGCCCAGCCTTTGGGAAACAGGACTCACGTCACTGACTCAACCCCAGCTTGCAAATATCATACGGTGTTTTTTGATAACTATTGTTTAGAAAACCACTGTGAAATAATTTCTAATTTCTCCTCTTAAGGTGAGGCCAGCCACATTTAGAGAATACAGAGTTACAGCAGCAATATTTCATTTAAGAGAAAGAAGTAGCACGCCCACGCACACACACAATTTAAAATGGATTTTCTTTTTCCCAAACAACAAAAAAAATTATTCTGTATTTTTTTAAAAAGGATGGTGGTGAAGGGGAGAAAATGGGGGACATCTGTAATACTTTTAACGATAAAATAAATTAAAAATTAAATAAAATAAAAAGGTTATTCCTACTTGATTTTGTCATGTGAAATGTTTTTACTGATAAAATAGAGCATAACTTACATGATATTTAACAAAAATAGGGGCTTTTCTGGCAAAGATTAAAACATCTACGATTAAGTGTGTGCAAGTTATAAAAAAATTCAATAAAAAATATTAGTTTTATTTATTATTGCTGACCTAATGTACAGCATGGTGACTATAGTTAATAATAATGTATTACATATTTGAAATTTGCTAGGAAAGTACACAAGTGTTCTCATGACAAAAAAGGTAATTATGTGAAGGAATGTATATGTTAATTATCCATGTGACGATCCTGATTGTGGTAATCATTTCCCAATGTATATGTGTATCCAAACATTATATTATATACCTCAAATATATACAATTTTTAATTGTCAATGATACCTCAATAAAGCTAGAAAAAAATTTTAACTGTAGCCAGAAGTAGTATAGATTTATGTAGATAGCAAGGCACAATGTATATTTGTTACAAATATTTTGATAAATAAGTAGCCTTTGAGAGGAAACTATAGTAAAATTTATCCAAGCACTACCTCTATTTTACAAATGGCATAAATTCACAAATTAATAGTGAAAACAAGGTAGAGGAGAGATGAGGAAGAAAGGGTGGTTAATCTATTTTTTTTAAGCCACACTGTTTAGATTTTAAAACTGCATTAGTAGTTCCTCACTGATACATAAACAATGAAGTTGCTAGTTGCTAATGCAGGTTTATTCACCAAGTGAGATAAACAAAGAAAATATTGAACCTAGATATTTTTTAAAATATTCTAAAATATGACCATTCTTCTAATTCGTAAATAATTCGATAATGTGATGGTTCATATGCGTTGGGAGAGGGGATGTCTTTCCTTTAAACGTAACACAGCGAATGTGCCGAGGCGGCGTGGGGAAGGCCTCGTGTGGGGGTGGCGTGTTCCTTCTCCCAGGGTCACACTGTGGCTTTGTTGGAAGTCCTTATTGTGCTCGCTCTGTCCCCACACACACTAAAATTGGAACCGCACAGCGAAGGCTAGCCCGCCCCTGCACCGGGTCGGCGTGCAAATGTGAAGCATATTTTGGAGACGGTACAACAGGCAGAAGGTACTACACAACTATACTTCAGTTAATATAGTTTTTTTCTGTATTAAGATGAACAGTGCGGATGCTGCCACACGTGTGTACATCCTGGAACTGAACGTCAAGGCAAGCGGACGGCAGAGGGCAAGGGCCAGGTTCGCACCGTCGGAGCGAAAGGCTGCAGACAAGCAAGGAGAGCAGTCGGGGCGCCCGACAGTGGGGTAACAGAGTTGAAGGGAACAGTGTACACTCATGTTTCGCTTACTATCAATACATGCAAAATATTTACAGATATTTGCACACGCACAGGTTAGCATGCACATATATCTCCTCATTCTGTCGCTGCAACGACCTAGAAATGACAGTACCCCAGGAGCAATTAGCGCCCCTAGCACCAGAGCTTGGCTTTTAATACCATTCTCCAATAAAAAGAACCAGGGCTCCTTGGAGAAATGACCGGTTCTAGGACTGAAAGGACTGAATGAGCTGGAGCATCTTGTAACGCCAGGAAGTCAGTGTTCACGTAGTGAGAAAACCTCAAAAATCGTCCTTGAAAAAGTGTCTCGTTGGCAATATAATGATGTAGCATCTTTGAAGTGGCATTTGGAGACATTATAATAGGAAAATTTTCCTGAGAAACTATGAGTCTTTTTCTATTCTGCTTCTTAGTTTATTTTGTTCATTAGATTCCAGCTGTCAGAGGGGAGGGGTTTGGGGCGCTTGGTGAAAAAGGTAGATAAAGGAAAAAAACCCAACAACAACAACTCATAGACACAGCCAACAGTATGGTGATTACCAGAGGGAAACGAGGGGGGCGTAGAAGAGGTAAAGGGGAGATTCATGGTGATGGAAGGAGACTTGACTTGGGGTGACAAACACACAATACAATATACAGAGGATGTATTACAGAATTGTACACCTGAAACCTATATAATTTTATTAACCAATGTCACCCCAATAAATTCAATAAATGAAGAAAAATTTCCTCAGCAATTGTTAGAAAATGCTAATAAAAGAATCTTGAGGAGTTTGGGACATAGTGAAGACTAAATGCTTGGAGACAAGTACCTCTTATTGAAATAATTCACCCAATAATATTTGTTTCACTGAGTCAAGACAGAAAAGGGATTTTTGCATCCCACTGTGATGCATCAATTCTCAGTCTATTAAAAAGTACGTTCAATAAATGCATAACTCATGGACTCAGAAAATAGTGCCGTGAAGGCCTGGGGGGATGTGGGGTGGAGGGGATCGATGGGGGGAAAGGGGGGATATCTGTAATACTTTCAACAATAAAGATAAATTTTAAAAAAAAAAGTACATTCAGTTCTCTGGTTCTGGCCACCAAACATTCATCTCCCTAGGCTGCCTTCAAAACAAAGGAGAGAGAGAACTAACTTATCACTATTAACTGAAAAAAGAACAAAAATGTAAATTTTGAAAGAATAAAAACCATCTGTCTGAGAACACAAGATCCACTGTTTATTCAATCAAGGAAGCAAAAGTCTGTGAGTTCCTGAGGATAAAAATCTGAAGTGACATAATTAAGATTATATGCCAATACCTAGAGTTTATTTAGGCTGAAAAGGAAATTATGCCATACCTTGGAAAGATCCAACCTAGGACAGTTAGCATTATAGGGTGGCCAAAACACACACATGCACGGTGTGTGTGCACATATGTGTGCATGCATGTGTGCCTGTCAGTGCACGTTTATGGTTGCTGAGGCAGGTAAAATGTTTCTGAGAAATGGCTCAAAAAACAATCACTGTGGTGGGATGGGAGGTAATGACAATTAAAGGGGGTTCAGGAGCTTAGGAGAACTCAGAGGGTGCATTTTCTGGGAAAGAG